TTTAGGTTTTAAATCATGCTTATTATGTAATTTTTAGCAGAAATTACATATCTTCTCGATTTAAGTCGATGGAAATTATTTGAAGAAATGTCAAAGTATTTCCCGCGATTGTTTAGTCAATCATCGGTAATCGATTCTATCGATGCACTTATCGATAGCATTCGTAATCAACTTTTCATCACCACGGTTTCTTTTAATGAATTTAATTGCAAAATGTGCTATAACTAATATTTATGACTAAATTTTAATATGATAAATTTTTATTATATATTTAAAAAAGATATTTAAAAACTTTTCAAGCAATCAATCAATAACAATATATTCCTCTTTCATTTCAAATGCAAAATCACTAGTTTTTCTCTCGTCAAAATATTTTTTGCTTTAATGACTGTTAAGAGTGTTGGTATTGTAAAATTATAAATTTAGCAGAATTTTATAAATTCTTTTACTTTTTTTAAAGGATATTTCACCACAACAAATAGAGGTTGAAGTTGAAAAAATGGTACAAAAATTCTTTATACAACTCATACCGCCAACATTTCTCTGTATGACAACGGGTCCATGCAAGTCTGTTTCACAGTCATATGCTAATTGTTTGCAAAGTAATTCACCGTTTTGGAAAACATTCTTTGGAATGGAACCCACTAAAATTAGTGCTATTTTATGGCAAGCAATTATGAAATATCGTCTCATCGAAAGTACCATCGCTAAATTACACAGGTTAACTTTTATTTTTTACAGCTAACCAAGAAAGAAAACAAATTTTTCTCCATAAAATCATATCTAAAAGTAATGTAAGTGGCAAAAAGAATTGCGAAAATATATTCCGGAAAATCATATCACACTAATGATTATGATAAGTTACAAAGATGCAAAAAAAAAACATTTAAATTATTTCATTAAACGGGAAAAGGTTTACCTTTAAATTAAAAGAAATTTGTATAATCTTAATGAAAATAGAATTCTTATTTGTTTTATTAACCATTATTGAAAATTAATTATGATTGGAAATTTATTGGTCATTTGATTAGGATTATAAAATTTTATTACTTTTTTTTTTAGATTAGCTATGGAAGTTGAAGTTGTTAATAATTCATGCATAATACGGCATGCAGAGATGACAACAAGTTGTGCATCAGTTTGTATTCCATTGAAGGAAGAAGTGATGGATTATTGCAGTGAAGATTGCAAGCATGCAGTGCATGATTGTTTGCGTGAAGGTGCAAGTGATTGGGATAGTTTCATAGCAATTTTGCAAAAATTAATCATCAATTTTGATAAAGGTTTCATTGAGGTATGTATGAAATTAATTTAAGCAATTTCTTTAAAAAAAAAACTCACTTGTTAATTTATTGATTTATTTCGTTTTTTGATTTAATTACACGCCGATTCATTTATTCATTTCCATATTATTAACTTGTCTACTTTATCATATTTTTTTATTTGCTCATATTATTTATTTATTTATTTTTTGCTAATTTGTTGTTCATTTCAAACATTTTTTCATAATATCAGAAGGGAAACATAAATTTTATTCGTAATAAGAAATTTTTAAGAAACCATGAATTGTTTAATTGACAGGTCAAGATTAGTGATTTCTCAAGAATTTGGATCAAGATTATTATTGAAATTATCGTAATACTAATTACAATTAGCAGTTTTTGTACTTTTTTCTGACATTATTCCAATATTTTTGAGTAACTTTTTCTCGGTTTTTAATCATTCATTTTATATTAAATATGAATTATTGAATTTCTATTATGAATATTTCCTGCATATTTGTACGGGCAATATTTTTTTGCAATGCAACAACTGACGAATTCAAATTAAGATAAACAGTGCAAGATATTAATTGAGATAATTGATGTGAAAATCATAAATCATATGAAGGAAGTGTAATGTATTAATACTGAAATTTGCAGCTATTGAAAAAAATTGAAAAAGTACTAAAAAAGAAAGATGTATTAGTATTGAAAAAAAAAAATTTTTTTTTTCAAATAAAACCATGGACTTAATTTCGGTGATATATATCATTCAGCAATACTTTTTAAGATTTTATCAGATAGCACTGAGAATTTTTAGCTATTGCGGAAATTGATTAATCTTGACTGTGATCAATCGAATCATAATCATTATCAGAATAAGTTAATCTTTTTTCTAGCTTGAAAAAGGTATCATTCAATCTATTTCGTATGCAATGGAAATGCAAGCTCCAATGATTGCTAAAGCAGTGCTGAGAAAATGTGGACGAATCAGTTTTGCTAAAACGTCGATCAGCATTCGACATATTGATTATCAGAAACCGGATTCGGTACAACAACGAGCAGTATTTACAATTCGACAGGTAAAGCAAAAAAAAAATGATTCAAATGATTCTAATTTAACATAATTTTTATAATATTTACATAAAAAATTATCATAATCGAAATGAATTTCAAATTTTTAAATATTTGTAATTTTTATTCAATAATCTAACATAAAAGTATAAAAATATAACGAAAAATGTTGCAATTTTTATCTGTATCTTTCAAATTCAATTCATAACTCTATCATTTAAGAGTTAAACATATCTCAAAACAGTAAAAAAAAAGCAAAAATGTAGTTTTACTAAGTTTTAAGATTTAAAAGCAAAAAAAGAAAAACTTTATATGTTTTATATTTTGCTTGAAAAATGACTATTAAATAGTAAAATATTATTGTATAGAATTTTGATTTTAAGGAGAAGGAAGAAAAAGACGCAACACAAACAAAAAAATGTTATGTAAATAGAACAAGAAAAAATTTTAGAAAAGAAAAGATAAAGTAAGTATTACACAGCAGAGCACTTTAATTTTTAAGCTTATTTTGAAGTACAACAGCAAATAACTTCTACTACTTATAAGCTCTTATTTGTGTTAAAA